ACACACACACACACACACACAGATACACACACATGTAGAGTTCACTACTCAGTCTTTGCTCCATAAAAATACAAGGACTGTCTTAGCTTTTTGTTACTGTGACAGACTACCTGAGGTAGTTAATTTAATGGAGGAAAAAGTTTACTTTGGCTCATAGTTTCACAAGTTTCAGTCCATGGTCACTGGCTCTGTTTCTTTGGATTGTGGCAGCATAACACATCATGATGCGAGCATGTGGCAGAGGAGGCCAGTTCACCACATGGTGACCAGGAAACAGAAGAAGAGGCCAGAGTTACAGTATTCCCTTTCTGAGTCACCCTCACACCAGGATCTGACCTCTTTCCCATAGGCTGCACCCTCTAGAGGGTCCACCACTTTCCAACAGTGCCACAGGCTGGGAACCAATCCTTTAACATCTGGGCCTTTGTGAGACATTTCAGATCCAAACTGTAACAGGGACCCACTTCCGTTCCTTTTGTTGTGTGTGGCACTATTCTGGAACTAGGCCTATATAAAAAAGGAGATCTTTCACAAGATATTCTTGGAGAATAACTTTTTTTAAATGCTATTTAGATCATTTGCTGCCTTCCTCATCCTTCCCCAATAATGTCATTCATCAAAGTGATTTTAATTTGGAGTCTTTGAGGATGTTCTGATGCTATTTAAATAAGAAGTTGAAATGCTAAATTTGGTTTTCTTTTTCAGAGTTCTTCTATTTGGGTGCAAACTAGGAGTTTTACAATACATACCAGTGAGAATTGTGACGACTGTGGTTGCTGTGTAAGTACATAGTTTTTACATCATTAAAAACAATACTTGTACCCCTGGGAACAAAGAGCAAAAAAATGTGTGAATTGTTCATAAAACAAGCCTAGTTTGCTGTAAAAGAATCACAATATGTAAAAACTTTATTGAGATGAATAAGTGTTAATGGGCAAAGAATCACCAGGATTCATGTTCCCTCTAGAGTATGCCACAATGCATTTTTAATGTGAATGATCACATAGCTTTATAGAAGCTGTGGTTAAGTAAAAGTATGTTACTTCTGGATGACTACATGAATTTATCATAGTTAATTTAGAGTATATTGGGAGTACTATTCCAAAAAAATCTTATTTTTCTTTAAATATTGTCAAGGTTTTTAGAATTCGAGGTAACATGAAATATTAAGCTATCTGATGAAACTATTTCCTAAAATTTTAAGAATATGAAGTAATTTAAAGAAGGTAGACTGTATGTCTTATCTGTCAGTCCTTACTAACACTCTGTGTGCTCACAAAGAAAAGATGGAAAGAATGGTTCAGTTCTTTATTTTGTCATTTTGAGCAGGAATCTTAGTCAGCTAAGATGAATATATTTCTTTATGAAGGTATGCATTATTTCTGTGCAGCTTAGAAACTGGATGAGCATGCAAATGAACATTAAATGTGAAATATACTTGAAGGGACTGGCTATTCATAATGACCTCTAAGATAATTTAGGGGGAAAAATGAGCTAACAATTACAATCAACCTTTTCAAAATTAGACAGCATAGTTTTGTAAACAGTTAATAATTATTAACTTTCTAGTTAGCTTTTTAACTCTTTCTAGTTCAATATATTGGTCTTAGTTTTTGTATTTCCTTCAAATTGACACAATAATCATGGTAACATTTCCAGAAAATGCTTCTGTTTTAATTTTTGAGTCATCTCTGGGACCAAAGTCAAGTGATTATAGGATCACTCAAATAAACTGACTTCCGAGTTTAAGCACTGCTGTCACTGTATCTTAAAATATCTGATTTAATCATAAAATTGTGTCTTTTACCCTGCTTTGTAGCATCTGTAAATCACTTCACGTATATCATGAGGGAACTTTCAATCTTAAGGATTCCTGCATTTACTTAGTAATTATAAGCAGTAGCTCTCAAGGGGTAAGTAATTCATCTCTGGAACTCTGCTTTAATCATTATTTCTTGGAATAAAGCTCAATTGCTTCCTTTTGATCTTGAAATTTAATTTATATAAATAAATTGAAAAGCTTTATACATACTTTTATAGGATATAAACATTCAATAACAACTTTAATTATTTGGTGAATCATACTCTGACCTGTTGATTGTGTTTGTTTGTTTATCTCTGATTCTCATTGCTTAGCTCTGTGTGCATATCATGAATAAAAGCAGTGTTCTCTGAATAAACAGGACCAAGGAGAAAACAAACACACACAATGGGCACGTTCAGTAAGAGAAACTGTCTAACTGGTATATACCAGCACTCCAGGTTTAAATAAAAATGGGATAATAGAATTTGTTGACATCATGTAATTGGAATCAGAGGAAATTAAGACTGCCACAGTTCTAGAAACTGAAATGTTCTGAAGATATAACTATTGATCCTGCGAATTCAAAGTGCATGCATCTGATTTCAAATCTTTGGTTAATGATTTCAGCAGAATAATATTTTAGATGTGATGCATTATATTAAAGCTTTATAATAAAAATTAAATAACCAACTATCCAAAATTTTTCTACATGTGCGTCTTCTTTATGACCAATAATTCTTTTTCTGAGAATATATATATATTTCTTTTTTATTTTATTTTTTTGAGACAGGATCTTACTATGTAGTTCAGAATACCCTTGAACACAGTATGTAGCCTAAGATGGCCTGAAACTCACAATGATCCTCCTGCCACAGCCTCCCAAATACTGGGATTATTGTAAAGAAATGCTCAGTATTTATTTTGACTGAAAAGTGTTGTTTGTAACAGCAAAAGCCTGGAAACAGCCCAAAGTCCTGTGATAGGAACTAATTAAATATATTATGATCAGGCTCTTGACCAAAATATCAGTCCCTTTTTAAGAATGATCCTTATAAAGTGAACAAAAATTTTATATTGAATTCATGACAGTTATCTAAAAAATAGCTTATACTTGAAACTGTAGCTCAGTGTAGGGAGCTTGCTTAGCATGGGCCGGGTCCTGGGTTTGACTTGTAGCTCTACAAAAGAAAAAAGAAAAAAAGAGTGTATCTATACTCTTGGATATATAGGGTCGGATAGGGGTCTGAGTAACTTTATTTGTCTTTTATTGCTTCTGGATTCTGAAACACTTCAAGTGAACATTTTATTATTTTAATGGAAGCAGTCAAATTTTAGGAAAGTGTTTCTGCCATTCTAATGTGGCATTACATTGTTATAATTGAGCTCTAAAATAAACCATAGGCACTGATTTTCAAAAGTAAATTTACCTGGACTGACATGCCACCCAGAAGAAAAATTGCTTCCCTGATTCCTTATTTTCTGATTTCCTGGTCACAATTTTGTTGAAACCGTTCTTGTTTAAGGTGCTGTGTTCCTTCATATATGTGCAATGTTAGGTAACAGAGGGGATAAGAAGATGAACCATTAAAAATGGTAACTTGTATTTAAAAGCCATTACAGACTTTTTATTTTGGCTGAACAAGTGTTTTCTTCCATGGATGTCTGCAGGGAGGGGGATTTATATCTCTTTTGAGAACTTTGATTTTGTAAATATATCCCTAAGGAGAAAAAATTAAATGTTTTTTGTTAATCTACAGAGTAATAGAGCCTAGAAAATTTTGCCTGAACTGTACCAAGCCTCTGGTTTATAATTTAATGTTGCTTTAGTTATCCTTACTGCAGTTGTTTAAATGTGACTCTCGTTCACAGGTAGCTATGTATTGCCTTACTTTGTTCTATGTCACGTTCAAGAAAGAGTTCAAGCCAGTCAACGCCATTGGCAAATTACTCAGTATGAAGTTATTCATTTTGGTCTCTTTTTTGTAAGTGTTGCTTTCTCTTAAATGTTCTCATTTTTCTAAAGTGCAATAAAAATGTTGATTTTCAGGTATTGTTAGCAGAAGGTGGATTAAAATGACTCTACTTGA